CGGGGGATCCCACTTCGAGTGGCTCGATGGAGTAACGAGAACGAGACCGACGACGGAACGAACACGTTCGTTTTCGAAGCCGCCGACACCGCGCCGTGATAACAGAGGGTGAATCACCATCCGAGCGAAATGCTACCACCTTTGCCGAATACGCGACGTTAGCTGACATTCTCGCGTTGCGTGAAAAGTCGGCGGAATAGGGACCAAAGCTAATTTCGACAACGTGGATCTCTCGCTGCAACGATACCAGGTGGGTACTTACGTCGTAAATGTTTCTTCGTTACACCTGTATGCATCGCGTTCCCTCTCCACCTTCGCCGATTTCTAAGTTCTTTCCGCTTCTAACTGTTGTGCTTTCCTTTTGGTCCTGACGCTCTTCAAATTTTTAACGATAACGATCATCGTGTAACGACAATAGTCGCGAGAAGATCTTGGAACGAGATAGCTTTCTCGAGATTTGAAAACGATTTTAACTTGAGAACGAGAATAAGATAATAGACGAAAATAAATGTATTTTTTTTATTCTTCTTAATATCTATCTATGTCACAGCTCTGTCGAGCCAACTAGCAAATACGTTATCCATTATTTGGTATAGTATTCTAGATTACCGGCGATTCGTTCGATCCTACTTCTCGTATTTTAATTAGAATCGAGTATGCAAATTAAGCTAATTTAAAACGAGATTCAAGTTTTTATCGCTTCGCGCAACGTATAAAGAGAAATAATTATCTCTTGCAATTTCTGACTTTTTCCTATTTTCACGTTCGAACGCGACGCGAATTTGCATTTCTTTGAAAAAGTCCGCTTTATCGCCGGCCTATTATCGAACATTTCGGAATACGAAGAACAAATTGCAAGTGCAATAATAATTTGATCGATAATTTTATCGTTTTTACGTTGAACTTGAATTATTATTATTATTATTATTATTATTACTATTATTATTACGAATTATCATTACGGTCGTCGCGTGATTAAAGTTTTACGAATCTTGCGGTCTCAAAGATCGTAGTTGCAGAATATTCGTAATTTTATCGATATTTTAGCCCGTATAAATTATGACGCGGATTCGTGCGACTAATAATATTATGAATGACGTAACAAAAAGTAAATCGCGAAACGAACAAGCTACAATTTATTGCCGTTATCGCGATAATTAATGTTAGAATTGTACGTTTATAAAAATATTTCTATATTAACATTGTACGATAGACTTTGCCCTTGTAGATACGTACATGGATACATACAGTACCGAACGAAAGTATTGGCACAGCCTGGATTTTCGCACAAAGATCGACGCAAATCTCTAAAGAACGCGATTCTTTGTTTAATTTGTTTTGCAAAACTCGCTTTAAAGTTCAAGTACACCGCGAATCGCGATTTTTAAATATAATTGTAACAAAGAAAGAAAATGAAACGCATGTAGAGGTTCCGTTTTCAGCGCAACAAAAATATTTGTAAACTCACGATTTTGGACTACAAATCAGTCGTGACGTTCGACTTGATCTTTCTCGTAACAGCCTTTAGACAATCAGGCATCGGACGTACCAATGCTTTCGTGATTTTTCCATCTATTTTGTGCCATTCTTCGAGAGGTACTCTCCCCGGATCTTGCTCAGACCTGGTACGGTGTGTTTGAAATCCTGCCGCTTAGTTCGGACCGAAGCAGCTCGATAGGATTTTGGTCTGGCGATTGTTGCGGAGTCGTTAACGCACGGGGTGTATTAGAACTGATTCCTCGTTTAACGACACAAACTGTGCGTTTGGAATCAAACGGAGAATCGTTCGCGTCCTTTACAGACTCGCGAAGAATTCTGTACGAAGATCCGCGAGCCGA